TTTTGAAAGCTGGATAAATAAGCTCTCCATTGATGTATGGTTTGTTAGGATAGGACAATATTTGGCCGAGATACAACTATTTGAAAATCTGGAATCTGAGGGTGCAAAAAAATCAAAATATTGAGAAAATCGCCTTTAAAGTTGTCCAAATGAAGTTCTTAGCAATGCATATTAATAATCAAAAATTAAGTTTTGATATATTCACGGTAGGAAATTTACAAAATATCTCCATGGAACATGATCTTTACTTAATATACTAATGATTTTTGGCATAAAAGAAAAATCATTTTGACCCATACAAGGTATTTTTGGCTATTGCTACAAATATACCCCAGCGACTTAAGACTGGTTTTGTGGTCCAGGGTCACATTTGAATTTATTAGGTACATAACAGGTTTTAAATGGACTGAGTGGGATTTCACTCATTGTTCAAGTCATTTAAACGGAGTACCTTTTATGGGCACCAGAGGGCATGTAGGAGCCAAATTAGTTTTCTTAATAATATGTTGGTCTCATTAGATGAATGAATGAGCACATTTCCATTATGTTCTGTTTTTGCCCTCTTTGTTTTAGTTTCATGGAGATTTAGTCACATTATGTGCATTTCTGAGCAGTACTATGTATTTAATGAAAGACTTGAGTGGAAAGGGGTCATATTCTACACTTTTGTCATGATTTTTTTAATGTTAATCAAGATTTCATAATTTAGTTTTACATTTTACCATTAGCTGTCATCATTTTAACCCGTAAAAGCTTTGTTTTTGGTACTGTATCTTTGAGAATGGTATATGCGAATATCCTGGTTCTGAAGTCGATACAATTATAGCATGAGCCATTTTTCCCACTTAGTTTTTATAAATTGTATGAGTGGGTTGTGGAGGGAGCTTTGCATTATGACCATAGTACAAGGAGCTTTTTATTTCAAAAGAGCAAAGAAAATCCTGTTTTCCATCATATGTGCCCTTTAAGTCGCGTATATTTGGCAGTCATTGATTTTTATGATTCATATGGTGATTCATTTATTCATTTTGTTTGTCATTTGGTTCAGGCACAGAAAAGACGAGTTGGAGAGGCGCATGTCGGCCCTGCAGGAGAGCAGGAGAGAACTGATGGTCCAGCTGGAAGGTCTCATGAGGCTGCTGAAGGTACGGCTCTTTATTTCCCTCGGCATGTATGAAAACTTCATTTGTTTGCTCACCTTTTGCCTCTCTTTTTTTCTTCACCTTTCTCTTTCCCACCGCTGTCTCTCTGACGTGTCTGCTTTCACTCACTGTCATCTCTCATCTTCTGGCTGACAGGATGAAGAGCAGAAACAGGCAGTAAGTGTTCCTTTAATACAGCTCTGCAATTCTGGAGTAAACATGCGGGGTCACAGCTGCAAAAGTTTGAACTAACATATGTATTGTGTATGACAAAACAGGCATTTTCAAGAAAGTGACAGGTAAAAGATTAACGGGTTGCATAACGCTGAAAAATGGAGAGGTTTGCTGACAAAAATAAAAACTTCTGTCATTATTTACTCACCCTAACTTTCTTTCTTCTGTGGAACATAAAATTAGATATTATAAAGAATGTTCAGGCTGCTCTTTTCCATGCAATGAAAATGAATGGGATTTTTTCCCACTAAGCTCTGGAAACAATGAAAATGCTACAAATATACTTTTATATTTGTTATATACTTTTACAAATATATACTTTATTTGTTATATACTTTTACTTATACAAATATACTTTTATGAAATTAGTTCATGACTCATTTGACTGCCATCATATAACACTCACAGTTAATCTTAATTGTTTGAATTAATATCTGAGTGTTATAATGACTTTACCATCATATAACACTCACAGCTAATCTTTAAAAATATGAATAATTTAAGATAATTCATTTGAATTTATCTTAACTTTGTGCATGATATATGTATGTAAAATTGCTGAAATTAAATAGACAATATTTACTCAGAATTCATTACAGATATTTGATTATATTTGACCTTGTAATGTAATCTTTAGCAAATCTCAAAAAAGAATATGCAGTTTTAAGTCTATGTACATTATAATACTGTAATGCCTACATTCACTATATTTGCTTTATTTTTGTATGTATTTAGACAAAATTGCTTTATTAGTCATTGGCTGTGACTTGAAAATAATTCTGTATCTTAATGTATTTTAATAGGGGTGCGTTCCTACTCTTTTTGTCATTTTTGGAGCATCAGTCCATTGTGTTCCACAAAAGAAAGGAAGTCATTTAGTCTTGAAATGATGTAATGATAAGTAAGTGTTTACAGAATTGCTATTTTTAAAACTTTAAAAATGACTGATAAGTGCAGGTTGCTTAATGAGAATAAAGCATGAGTTTATCTCATGAGCTTATCGCAGACTCTCTGTGGGTGATCTCTGTCACTTCTGCTCCTCATAACGAGGACATGAAGCTCCCATTTCCAGTCAAGTCCCGCTGCTTTGTTCCTGTGACCCAGGGTGGGACCACGAGCCGCATGTCTCCCTGCCAAATATCAGAGACCTGCTCTCCTTTCATCAGGGCTAAGCACCTCACGTCTAATGTGCTTGCAGTCTGGCTAGCCATCTGCTGCCTGGCAGTGGGCCACAGGCCAATGTTCTTTTTAGCAGCATCATATGACCCCTTTAAAACTGATGTCAACCATTTAAGCGAATGTGTGACTGGTAGTGTGTGTGTGTGTGTGTGTGTGTGTGTGTGTGTGTGTGTCAGTTCTCTTCCAGTCCCTGATGTCACCTGTCCCAGTTCTCTCTATATGTCCTGGCTGGACGCGCTGAGCTGCGGCATCCACTGTCCCGTCCTGCTCATGCGAGGAAACCAGCAGAACGTCATGACCTTCTACTGCCAGTGAATGTGACAGCTCATCATTAAACACATCTCTTACTGCATGTAAATCTGCTGTCAGTTTCAGTGATGTAAAGATGTTGAACTGAGACGAACTGCGTAATCCTCTCATGCAATGACTCTGGATGTATGTTTAATGCACATTATGTCTGTATAACTGATGATACAGGTTAACGATTTGGCTAAAAAGGATAGAATAGAAATGGGGAAGCACTTTGTCTCTGATCTCTGGACCTTCATTTCAGGGTTGAGGTTTCATGAAATTCAAACAAGACACAATTAAAAATATGATCAAATAAGTTTATTCGTTCTTGCTTTGTAAAATTACATTTCATTGACCAAAACATTATAATGAATAATTTAGAAAGTTACATTTTGACTGCATATACATACTAGATTATTATGAATTACAAGTGTTTTGATCTGCTTTTCAATGTGAAAAAATACAATTTAGCAAAATGACGAACATCTCATCCTTCACTGATTGTCTCATTACACCAAGTATAAAAACAGCTGTTCAGTCACAATAAAAGAAACAATTAAACATCACAGCATGTACAGAATACATGACAGCTGAAATAAACACAGATTTCATGGAGTGTTTGTATGTTAATGTATGCTGCTGCCCCTTCTCAAAGCTCAAAAATAGTGATAGAAAATTAAGAAATAAAAATATTAATCATTAACATGATAAACTAATTTAAATGCTTTTTTTTACCCCATTATAATTATTTTCAGCAACTTCCCTTTCACCATACAACAGCATAACACAGACATGAATTCACAACAAAAAGAAAAAAAATAGAAATACAAGAATACATAGAACGAGATAAATGAGCCAAAAGAATAAGACAAAACATTCAACTGAAGACTTAATATATTATGCAGGTACATTTACAGTGGCCTCAAATATAGTTAGAGTCATAGTTAACATATCAGAAACAAGTGTGACAGGTGTCCAGATATGTTTTGGGGCTGCTGTACTTTATTTTAGATATCTTTAATGCAAAACAACAAACAAAATCCATGAACTGCACATGTTTTCTGAAATCTTAAGTTATGAAGAGGGGATTAAGTTTAGAGAGGGGATTTTGGATGTATCTTTCTCTTTATTCCATAATCAGAAAATACCATCAACAGCCAGAAGAAAATTACAATTTCAACTTGTTTTAAGGATTAAAATGTTGTGTATTATCAGATGAATGATATATGAACAAACCCCTTTATAAAAAATGAATATAAACAAGAATAAAACTGTAAAATATGATGTTAGTAGGTGATACTACATACGTTAAAGTGCAATAATAAAATCAGACCCTTCTATAAAAACTTTCAGAATATAGACAGGAATAAAAATGTGAAATTGGATGTAAGTGCTGCTAAAATGGAGATATATACCCATTTGGAGAAAATGGTCTTTAAATATATGCACTGCAATTGAAATCTACAGACATAAATGTGACCCCAAAACCAGTCATAAGATGTGTAGATCATCTGAAAGCTGAATAAATAAGCTTTCCATTGATGTATGGTTTGTTAGGATAGGACAATATTTGGTTGAGATACAACTATTTGAAAATCTGGAATCTGAGGGTGCAAAAAAATGAAAATACTGAGAAAATCGCCTTTAAAGTTGTCCAAATGAAGTTCTTAGCAATGCATATTACTAATCAAAAATGAAGTTTTAATATATTTACAGTAGGAAATGTACAAAATATCTTGAAGGAACATGATATTTACTTAATATCCCAATTATTTTTTGGCATAAAAGAAAAATCTATAATTTTGACCCATACAATGTATTGTTGGCTATTGCTTCAAATATACCCCAGCGACTTAAGACTGCTTTTGTGCTCCAGGGTCACAAATAAACTGCAATAATAAAAATCAGGCAACTAATATGAACAAATCTTCAGAATGTAAGTGCTGAGATATAAACTCTTTTTGAGAAATTGAAATTTAAAGACATGGATTGAAACTGAAATCTACAGACACAAATAAAAAAAGTGCAAATAAGCACTGAAGTGTATTTTGAATGTTTTCCGTCCACTATTCTGAACCATGAAACAAGCCAAATGGCTTTCCTTTAGTGTCTCGCCTTAAAGAGCCGGATAAGTGAGTAAACCGCGTGGCTGTATCACTGGCAGTAGAAGGTCATGACGTTCTGCTGGTTTCCTCGTATGAGCAGGACGGGACAGTGGATGCCGTAGCTCAGTGTGTCCAGCCAGGACATATAGAGAGAACTGGGACAATCTGCCTGCGCTACGGGGAGAGACCTAAAACACACACACACACACACGTTTATCAATAATTAACAGGTGTGTTTGCCCTCAAATTATGATTCTTACATTTAAAACGTAAATGATTCATGAGGCTCCGATATTATCAGATTGTGCTTTGTGTATGAATTACATATTGACCAGCAGCCAGTAATAGTTAATGATATTACAGTCAATACTCACACTAGAACCAGTGCAGCGTACTTCGAATTCCTCCGTATGAGTTCATTCAGCCGCACTTTCTTCTCCGACTGTCAAAGGAAGAAAGAAACATTGAGCTGGCGAGTACTGTAGCTGGACATTGAGGTCAAACACACACACACACACACACCTTGGGTCTCAGTGCGTCCATCTCTTTGTCCGTGACTTTCCACGTAAACTCTGTCCTCTGCTGCTGCGCCGTCCTCTCGTCCAGCTGTCCCTCATTCAGCCTGAAGGGGGCGAGCGTTTCCTCAAAGCGCCTCATGCTGATGACAAAGATGATCTGTTACTGTATTTGGATGCTATTACCAGAGCACATCACTTTCTTTGCTTCAAATTGATTGCACATTAATTACCCATCTGGGCTAAACGTACTTTTTGGCGAGTGGTGGCCTTTCGCTGTCCGTCACCACGATGACATCGTGAACGTCCAGCCGGAAACGCTGGAGCAAAGTCATCATTCTGAACAAGATAAGAGATTTTATTAATAAAATAATAAATACTTAGGAACAGTACAGTAACTGACAGCTTTCATGTGAATTTTCGAAATACAAGCAGACTTGCGATACAAAATGCTCTTCGCTTTTAAAATTACGCTTTGAATTCTAAAGGAACTGGGATTTATGTAGCTAATGGAATTGTTGACTGATTCTAATAATTTTGATGATTCAGATTATTCCCTATTGATTCAGATGATTAGAATGATTCTTTTAATGATTCGGATAACTCTCCTGATTCTGATTTTTCTAATAAGTGATGGTTTGAAGATCCAGATGAGTCTGAATTCGATGATTCTGTTCATTTAAACAGTTACGATTTTCGGTCAGATATAATATTAATGATTCGAATGATCCTGAAATAATTAGATCTAATGTTCTTGAATCTGATTATTCCAATGATTAAACAGCAAGAGATCATTTGATCTTGGGGGAATTTGACAGAAATGCTTTATAGAGTTCATATAGAGATCTGATTTTATCTAGGCGAATCTGAGCACACTTTGAGACATTAGTGAGATCTGTTCTGCTTTTTGGAGACGTTTTTTTCGAAGGAGAAACATTAGAACATTTCTCAATTTAATTAAATTGCTGTCTAGAAGATACGTGAGAAATTCAAATCTCTTCTGCCACTTTCTCTTTCATATAGGCGATGATTCAGATAGTTCAGATGATTAAAATGATTCACGAGTCTCACTCCTTGCGGTCGTTCTCCATGGTTTGCTGTTCTCCAATGATGAACACTCTGACTTTGCTCCGTCTCCAGCATTTCCTTCTGGTCAACAAGTATGGCACTAGCAGAGTCAAACCTGAGACAAAGAGAGGGAGACTTTAAGGACGTTAACCGCATTACTCAACTGTTTAGTGTTAACTGGCGGGTTATCAGACACAAATTATGACGATTGAAGCCTTGTAATGATTACAGTCCACATCTGACCTCCGTCGTCAGAGATCCAGTACACGTCGATGGTCTTCTTCCCTTGATTGCTCTGGAACACGGTTTTGATCTGATCGTTCGCCGTGTTCTTTGTGTTGTCGACATCTAAAAGGACAGAAGTAGATGAAAGGAGGAGCGAGATAAGGTTGAAGAACAAAGACAGGACGCATCGATCGGTTTATTCACCTGAGTCAGCGTCTGAAATCTGATCGTCAGACTCTATGGCCTCGTCCACCTCAAAAGCCTGGTTGACTGTCAAACACACAGGAAAGCATTACTGAAATTGTTCAATGATTGTATGAGACATACACACACAGACGAACACAACATACCCTCAGTCTCTAACTCGTCTCGGATGTCCAGTCCGTCCATCATGCGGAGAACACACACGCCATGGTTGGAGTCAAAAGCATCACTGAGACCAAACAAATATACTTTATTTTAGCTTCTAGTTGAGTGAATTTCACAAAAAACATGTCCAGGTCACATATTCCAAATTCACAAGGCCAAATTCAGGTTACAATAATTTACATAAAGACAATTATGCATGTTTTCCTTCCAAATCTTTTAATTTTCCCTCCAAAATTCAAAATTTCCCTCCAAATCGTCACATTTTCCATTCAAATTTCAAATTTTCCCTGCAAATCTTCACATTTCCCCCTCCAATTTTCACATTCCGTCCCACATTTCCATATTTTTCCTCCAAATTCCAAATTCTCATTCTCAATGGAGATTCTCTTTAGAAAACGTTACTTTACCATGTTGTTTTATAATTATTAATATTATTAAAAACAGCATAAATTAAAGTAGTATAACAAAAACGTTCATGGTGTATAAACACTTTAATACATGTTAAAGAATGTTTGTTTCTGCATTACACTCAAGAGAATGAGATTAGGCTTTCCTGTCTTTCTCTCCAGATCTCTGGAGTTGAGAGGTTCTTTTCACTCACTATATGGTGTTGATATAGTCTTCTATGCCTTTACTGCTGCTTTCATGCCAGTTCATTTTGAATCCCATCACCAGTATATTCGGCTTCAACTTCCCCAAACCAGAAGCCTTGAGATGGGGAAAAAAAAAAATCATATTTTATACATTAAACAAAATAAACCAAATAAACAAATTCATTAGGGAAAAAAAACTGCAACAAACAGCACAGAGATTAAAAATCACTCATGCTTTATGCATGAAACACAAGCAGTCATTCTGTGCAACGTACAAAACCATTTTAAAGTACAGTAATTGTCCCACTGAATTGAATGCAATAATTCATGCAAAAAGCGATTTGCACAGTCATGTGTACTCATGTTTCATCACTGAAGCATTGTGGCGTTTGTAACCTGCAGAAGATGCCGGGCTCCTTCTCTCAGATCGGACGCCTTGAAAGACGTGTAGAAGGAACGAACCTTCCTCTGATTGAGCCACTTTATCATGTCATTAGAATTGCGCTGAGACACAGACTTCTCATCATCCTAAAAACAAACAGAACCATTTTTTTTGTTTGGTCTTTTGAGGGCAGAACTGTCTCATTTAGAAGTTTTTTTTTTTTTTTTTATTCAGCTGGTTCTTACCATGAGAATGTCGCCACAAATCATCAAACTGACATTTTTAGTGAAAGAGCCCACAAAGTCCACCAGCGCTGGACGCAGAGTCGGAGGACCCGTCAGAACCAGACACTGAGGCCTGATGAGACGAAACCAACGAGTGAATATATGGACCTACAATATATCACGGTAAACACCATTTTAATTAAAGTGAATGAAAATGAGGCTGTTTGACGGGTTGAACTGCTGTTGACTATTCAACAGATAAAACAGGACAGGACTGATAATCAAATTATTATTAGTTATTATCATCATCAGATGGTGAAAAGCCCATTTCCACCACATTAAGAAAAAAAAACACACACATCATGCTTTGATAAATCATAATTATGAGAGTGAATAATTATGAGATAATTATGAAAAAAAAAAATCAAATGTCTCAATTTTCATTTTCATTTACTTTTAAACTTTGACTTGTGTCACAACTATGACTTAAGCCATAATTTTGAGTTTTTATCTCATAATTATGACTATAGCTATTCGGCTATCGGTTATCAGTATTAACTTGCCCTTTTGTGATTAAAATGATTCCCGCATTAAGATCAATGCACACAAAGCATTTTAATAACATGCACTGATGAACCATTCACAATAAAACCAGGAACATGAATAAAAAAACGGATTGTGCTGTAAAAACAGAGCTGACCTGTAGTTTTTGACGTGATCTTCGACTCCTGCTAGAGACACGGAGTAGGACAGAGCCATGTTGTAGGTACTGGCCTGGACAGACGAACCCCAGTTCACCCCTTGAACGACACAAAAACATTCAGACATCCTGGCCATTTTATTTAAAGCATACCATTCAGTGCGATCATTATTTTGAAGGGTCAGCATCTCACCGGGTTTCTTATAGACGACGTAGCCGAATAAGAAGATGATTAAACCGAAAGCAATAAGCGCCGCCCACCAGGTGAGCAGGAACATCAGTACCACAGAAATAACGGCACCAAACAAACCCGTCCAGGGGCTGAAATACCGAAATGATGGCCTCCATCCTGAAAACGAGCAGAAGAAATTTTCAGGAAACAGAAAGGAGTGTGTTACTATAGATCTGGACTCAACAGGCTTTCAAAAAGCAGCTTAAATGTAAGCATTACTTGTTTACATTAAATTTTTTGAATGACTCTCATTATTAGTATTATTATTTTTACTAGTTTCCAACAGCAAAGTTTCCACATTAAGACAATGACAATCTCAAACACTTCAATGTAATTGTATGTGCGTATAACCTATTCAGTCTTACAACATAGAACAGATAATCGGATTCATTCATTTTACTCACCGGGAGAATTAGTGATAGAAGCGTGAAAACAGCTGAAGTTGATGAGAGCGTAAGAACAGAGGAAGAAGTTGGAGATCAGAGGAGCGATTACGTTCAGCTCAGCTGTGGAGATATTAAAAATGATTTATACAGTAAACACACAGAATACATACAGTATAAAATGATAGATGACAACATTTTATTTAACATCAAAATTATGTATAAAGGAAACGGCATAGCTGCAAATAGTCACCTTTTTTGCATTTAAACTCTTTTTTTGTCTTGACTAGTTTATCTGAAATTATCCTGCGGATATTTCATCTCTTAATTATAATGAGTTTATAAAAGCTGCATGCTAAAGCAGTAGCAAAATTATGTTTAAAATGGTTTTAGATGGAGTTTTTTTTTTTTCATTCCAGTTACCCATAAACAAATGTGCATGTAATATATAAGTGTACATTATCTCTGAATTACACAAGTTGTGTTAAATATTATGTGGCTTTTTGACTCACCAATCAGAATGAAGCACATGGCGATGATGTAACACAGCAGATATGCTCGCAGTGGCTCGTTGTTTTTCCCGTAACCCTTTGCAAAGAAGCCGATGAATGGGTAGATGTTGTCTTTGCAGAGACACTGTCCCAAGAGGAGGTGGGAAAAAAGTGTTTTTGTTTGAATTTACAGGCTATGTTCACTTTGATGAGCTTATTAAGTTGCATATTAGCTATTATCTGGTTTAGAGTATGCCATTTTACCTGGAAGACTTTGGGTGCGGAGACGAGGAACGCAAGGGCGGATGAAAGGGTGGCCGCAAATATGCCCGCATAGATCAACGGACCAAAGCCGGAGACCTGGATCAGGACCTGGGGGTTTGAGCGGGAAACCACATTAGTGCAAAATTACTTCATCTGTCAAACCAGTGGAGCGTCTGAAAGAGCGATACAGAAGAGTAGAGAACAGTTTGACTAATTGAACTCAACTATAAGCTACCTACAATTATATATTTCAAGATAAACCATAGAAATATACACGCTCAGATTTTGAATGCAACTTCCAAAATGAATGAAGGAAGGAAGGAATAAAATGATAATTAACTTAAAATTATTAATAACCATTTTAAGAAATACATAAAGGAGTTATTAAATCTAGTAACCCAAATACAATAAATTAATAAATAAGTCGGCCCCACTTTATATTAAGTGGCCTTAACTACTATGTATTTACATCAAAAAATAAGTACAATGTACTTATTGTGTTCATATTGTATTGCAAAACACATTTGCTGCTATTGAGGTGGGAAACAGGTAAGGTTAGGGACAGGTTTGTTGGTATGGGTAGGTTTAAGGGATGGGTCAACTGTGTAATTATAAATGTAATTACAGAAATTAATTACAGATATAATTACATGCAGGCATTTTTAAAATATAAGTACAATGTAAAAACATGTATGTACACAATAAGTGCATTGTACCAAATTATTAATTGAAATGTAAGTACATAGTTGTTAAGGCCACTTAATATAAAATGGGTCCAATAAGTCTATCCTAAGTGAAAAAATAAATAAAAAATAAGAGTGAGAAAGAAAGAACGAGAAATAAAGAAAGAAAGAAAGAAAGAAAGAAAGAAAAGGAAAATAGAGAAAGAAAGAAAGAAAAAAAGAAAGAAAGAAAGAAAGAAACGAAAGAAAGAAAGAAAGAAAGAAAGAAAGAAACGAAAGAAAGAAAGAAAGAAAGAAAGAAAGAAAAGGAAAATAGAGAAAGAAAGAAAGAAAGAAAGAAACGAAAGAAAGAAACGAAAGAAAGAAAGAAAGAAAGAAAGAAAGAAAAACAAACAAACAAACAAACAAAGAAAGAAAGAAACAAACAAACAAACAAACAAACAAAAGAAAGAAAGAAAGAAAGAAAGAAAAGGAAAATAGAGAAAGAAAGAAAGAAACAAACAAACAAAAGAAAGACAGAAAGAAAGAAAAGGAAAATAGAGAAAGAAAGAAAAAAACAAACAAACAAAAGAAAGACAGAAAGAAAGAAAAAGAAAGAATAAAGAGAAACAAAAGAAAGAAAGAAAGAAAGAAACAAAAGAAAGAAAGAAAGAAGAGGAAAATAGAAAACTAAAGAAAGAAAGAAAGAAAGAAAGAAAAGGAAAATAGAGAAAGAAAGAAAGAAAAAAGAGAAATAAAGAAACAAAAGAAATAAAGAATAAAGAGAAACAAAAGAAAGAAAGAAAGAAAGAAAGAAGAGGAAAATAGAGAAATAAAGAAAGAAAGAATAAAGAGAAACAAAAGAAAGAAAGAAAGAAAGAAAGAAAGAAAGAATAAAGAGAAACAAAAGAAAGAAAGAAAGAAAGAAAGAAAGAATAAAGAGAAACAAAAGAAAGAAAGAAAGAAGAGAAATAAAGAAACAAAAGAAAGAAAGAATAAAGAGAAACAAAAGAAAGAAAGAATGAAAGAATGAAAGAAAGAAAGAAAGAAGAGGAAAATAGAGAAATAAAGAAAGAAATAAAGAAACGAAAGAAAGAAAGAAAGAAAGAAAGAAAGAAAGAAAGAAAGAAAGAAAGAAAGAAAGAAAGAAAGAAAGAAAGAAAGAAAGAAGAGGAAAATAGAGAAATAAAGAAAGAAATAAAGAAACGAAAGAAAGAAAGAAAGAAAGAAGAGGAAAATAAAGAAATAAAGAAAGAAAGAAAGAAAGAAAGAAACGAAAGAAAGAAAGAAAGAAAGAAAGAAAGAAAGAAAAAAGAGAAATAAAGAAAGAAAAAGAAAGAAAGAATAAAGAGAAACAAAAGAAAGAAAGAAAGAATGAAAGAATGAAAGAAAGAAAGAAGAGGAAAATAGAGAAATAAAGAAAGAAATAAAGAAACGAAAGAAAGAAAGAAAGAAAGAAGAGGAAAATAGAGAAAGAAACAAACAAACAAAGAAAAGAAAGAAAGAAAGAAAGAATAAAGAGAAACAAAAGAAAGAAAGAAAGAAATAAAGAAAGAAAGAAGAGGAAAATAGAGAAATAAAGAAAGAAATAAAGAAACGAAAGAAAGAAAGAAAGAAAGAAGAGGAAAATAGAGAAAGAAACAAACAAACAAAGAAAAGAAAGAAAGAAAGAAAGAATAAAGAGAAACAAAAGAAAGAAAGAAAGAAAGAAGAGAAATAAAGAAACAAAAGAAAGAAAGAATAAAGAGAAACAAAAGAAAGAAAGAAAGAAAGAATGAAAGAAAGAAAGAAGAGGAAAATAGAGAAAGAAAGAAAGAAAGAAAGAAAGAAAGAAATGTTTCTGTAAAACGCTGTGGCAAAAATCCCTGGTCTGGTTTGATCTGGTTTGGTCTGGTCTGGTCTGGTTTGGTCAGCCTGGTTAGGCCACATCTTCTGTGGATCATTTGCATTAAACCGAATATAGTGTCATTATTATCTACTGATCCTCTGCTGTTCTTCTGTTCTGCTTTGCTCCATTCAGCAGAAACTCCTGATGATCACTGGCTGTCAGTTCACAGGCATTTCACTGGGTTTATTAATAGTGGATCAACTATAACCACTAGACTAACCCGTCTTACATTCACACACCAAAACATGAATCATTAGCTCTCGGCCTTATGTGAGAAGACGTCCGACCGGTGCCTCGTCGAGAGGACAGCAGCAAACTGAAGAGCCTCACCTGGAAGTTATTAGCGAGGCCGAAGGTGCAGGTACCGCTCTGCTGACACTCGGTGAAGTTCCAGCCCAGACCGCAGCTCAGACCCTCACACGGCTCGCTGAAGTTCAGCGGCAGACTGTCGTTCATGCTCCCGGAGGCGTCGCGCAGCACACACGCTCCTGCGGGTCAAACACAGCCGTTTAAACCTCTACTCTATAATCAATGCATTAGAAAATCTATTGACATCAATCAAAGATAGAGTGAAGATGTTTCACTTAAAAAAAAAGGACCGTCTTATGCACAAAATTGCTATGTTGCTTTACAAGCATGAACAGCTGGTTATTGTACTTATTAACTAAAAAAATGCTTATAATGATTATTATTTATAATAAACTGACTTCTCAAACATTGGTGCTGATACTCAACTCACAGTTGCTCGTAATGGCATATGAGTTTGGTAATAATAACGCAATAAGCCCCGTGAAGCCGTGGTTTACAGTGTATTTTATAACAGCTAAGGGGTGTTGTTAGGTATGACGTGAAGTGGAATTAAACCCCCTTAGCTGTTATAAATTCACTGTAAACCACGGCTTCACGGGGCTTATTGCTACGTTTTATAAACTTCATTAAATACTCACCTACAGTTGAAGAAATGGCTAAATAGCTGACGGTGGTCCAGAATATGGCCATCAGTGTCCCTCTTGGGATGGCAATCTCAGGCTCCTGAAACATCCACAAACACAGCATTTGATCAACACCTTAGAGCCATAATCGCACGTCTCTAATCAAAATCACTGTCACAAAAACTCCATGCATTCATTTATGCATTCAAAAACTGAAAAAAAAAAAACTCAAAAGGTTAGTAGCTTCTTTGTTTTTGGCATGTTTGCAGATGCTCGTTACCTTCAGATCTCCTGAGATGTTTGCTCCAGCAAGGATCCCAATGGCAGATGGGAAGAAGATGGCAAACATTCGGAAGAAGTCGCCGTCTGCCCCTCTCCAGTCTGGGAAGAGGTTCTCCAAGAAGATCTCACCTGAAAAATATCAAAATACTTTAGTTATTTTGCAAGATCATTTCTGGGGTGTGTTGAAAGTAAACGATCAACACTAATGCAACTCCTGTCATAATTTAGCCATTCTTATGTTGCTTTAAACCTGCATGCTAATGAATAATTTAGCAGTTTTCTTTTCACTTCAGAACATTTTTTTCCATATAACACTTCATAGTGAATATGTCTAACAAACTACAAAAAGGGCAAAAAAGACACCCTAAAATAAGTTTGAAAAGATCAAAGCTAAAGTCATAAATCAAAAGAATTTGTGCTTTTGTGTTTCACAAAAAAATAACTGTTTTGCATGTCATTCCAAACCCATAAACTAAGTAAATAATGACATAACTTTCATTTTCAAACAAACATTGCATAAATCTTTACAGTTATTTGCATGGTACTAAGTAATCCTGTCTGGTTTTATAGAAGTTAAATATTTCTAAACCAATTAAACGTCTAGGAACCGACTAAAACCTATTTGGTTCTTGACAGACAGTTTGTTACGAAACATTTCTGGGATGCGGCACGTTTCACACTCACTGCGGTAACCGAAGACACCTATGGACTGTTTCTGGGGAGTCGCTGGAATCAAAGTGCCAACAAAATAGTTGACGAAAGACACCATAAGAACCAAGAAGAACAGGATCTGAGTCTATGAGAGAATGAAAAGAAAAGGAAAACACTACATTATAAGTCAGAGTTTCCTAGCAAGGGCTTTGTGAATCTCTAGAGGTGTGTGAAGAAACTGCAGGCTCATGATATATCAAAATATATATAAATAAAAATTTA